GGCACTATCCTGAGTGCATCACCGAGACCCGTATGTCTTAAATCCTCGAGCCAAAGCCCCCTGCAGCTTTAAGAGAGCCCCCGACAACTCGGCAAGCACACAGAGCCCTCTTTGTGCCAGTCGCTCTGCCGACACAAGAGCCATAGCAGGCCCGCTGTGCGCACCAGCGGGAACGCACAGACAGGGCCGTGCCACCGGCTGCCCCCCGCTGCCAGGGTACGCAGTCTCAGCAGGGAGGGCCACCTCTCCCCCGTCAGGGTACGGCCTTCACCCATCCTGCCCGAGAACAGCTGCTAGCACCCTTGAGAAGTTCATCCCCTAATCCAAATTACACGAAGAACAGATAGCTGCTGTCAACATCACCTGCCCGAGCGCAAACCAGCAACTATACTCCGTAACTCTGCTAGCAAGACCAACAGCCTCCAGGGTCCTTCGGCGCTGGAAAGGCCTGGAGCTCCTAAGTTAACACAACTACTACAAAATGGATCGACAGAAGAAGATAGAATACAAATTGTGTTAGTGCAATGCAATTGTATTTGTGCAATACAAAGTGGAATAAAACGTAGAATCAAAGTTTCGCCTATTTAATCACAATCTTTAAGAGATTATACAGTTTAGGATGGAAAATACAAAGTTACCTACAGCTACGAAGTAACTGATAGCTACTTCAGGTGGGGTGACAAAGAGGTGACAAAGATTTGGCTTATCTGGACTAACACTGAAGTAAAGGATAATTTCCCTTTGTTAACCGAGGTTTCCCTGGTGTAATTTCAAGGACCTTTTCAATAAAATTTTCAAGTGGAAACTAATTTTAACATACAAAGTAAATCCAGAGCGAAGTGACATGGTTACAGTTGTCTCTTGCTGTAAGGCAGCAGGACTTTGAAGCGGCTGATCCACATGCACAGCAGCCCATCTCATAAAGCGTTCCTGGTCCCTCCCTGGAGTGCTTTTACTCCTGTGCGTGCCAGAGCTTTCATACCTATTGCACACTCATCATTTGGCTCTGCAATGCAGCTAACCAAGCGCAGCTCTGCAGAGCTACTCAAGCTTGAAACAAAAAGGTTTCAGACCTTGATCAGAACAAGTTTCTATTTTGAAAGTGAACTAAGTGATTTCTTTCTGCATGCTCTGTCCAGCCAACCCATGACATTTGCAGTAATGAAATGTGTACCTCAAACGAGTTTAAAAAAAATTAGTTCCCCATCTCTCAAGTCAGCAATGATTAATTGTATTTTGTGTTGTGTCACAAGATGTTTCTAAAGACATCTGCCCTACGCGGGGCAGTTCTTATGCATATAAACAGGTTACAACACAAACTTGACTAATTTTTAAGACTGCAATAAACAGTATCTATTAAGAACAAATGTGGCTGCAGATAAAAGTCAATGTCAGAAACAAGTCAACCAATTCAGAAAAAAGGCTTTAAAGCCCTATACAAAGACATGAGGAGGGAGGGAAAAATGAAAACCAGAATCCATCGTGTAACTTGCCAAACCTTTTATCTAGATGCTATTAATACACCACCTATATATACAACTCCTGTATATGGAATAACATGGTGGACACCACAAACTCACCTAAAGGTGTAAGAGCTTTCAAGCCTAATGTTAATGTTTTGGTGGGGCTTTTCTGCTTATCACACAAGTAATACCTATGCCAGCCTTGTCCCTGACACTACTGAGCTTTATTACAGCGGCAGAGGCTGCTCTGGTTCTGCAGCACTGACAGGATGGTGCCCCGCTGCAGTGGGACAGCTCAGCCGCAGCTGAAAAACGAGGGTATCAAACCTCCATCACACCCAGCCTTCCTTACCAAGCCTACCCTGGAGTTAACCGTGTGCATGCAAATAAAATACCAAATTCGAATCTCCATAGTTGTCAGCTTGCATGAAAAGGAAAATTTTCATAGCTCCTCAGCAGCTGAAGACTTTCAGAATAGGGCATGACTGGATTTAACACAGAAACAGCAACAAAAAAATCCATCCCTGCCTACTTGGTTGGGTTTTTTTGTTGTTATTTTTGTTTTTTGACAGCGAGGAGGGAAAGGGAATCATCTCATGTCTCTGCTAAACCAGCCTGGAAGACAAGAGACTCACACAGCTTCCTCTTCCTTTCCGGCAAGATCATCTTTAGTCAGCAGAAAACCACCCAGCTCAAAAGCTATTCTAAAACGACGCCGTACAGCTCTCGCCTGCCTTCCCCCACTCCACTGCGCGAGCACGCGTAGGTGGCTCAGCGCAGCAAATGACAGCGTGCCACGCGGGTCTGTGTCTCAGCAGACTGCCTGCTCACAGCACACAAGGAAGTACGTGCTTTCGGACTGCCAGTAAGAGGTGGATCGGATCTTTTTTTGTTCCAAGAATATCTAGATAAAGATATTTACAGTATTAACCATGTTACAATTATGTGTGCCTTTGAAGGCATGAAAAAATAAGATATAATCCAGCCTTTAATTATAGATATAGGGTTTCGGCTAGGTGAAATGATGCAGAAGGTTCAAACTACTCCCTATTTCTTAAAAAAATATATATATATATTTACATAAGGTATACAGGAGGTCCCAACAACACATCTTAATGAACAGACTGTGCAGCAGATCAGATCCAGCCCATTGGATCACTGATCACTTTCAGATTTCCAAAGAACTGATATGAACTTAATCTGGAACTATGTCTTTATTAGCAGAATGTTTATTTTGCAATCTCAACTCAAAGGTCAATATTCTAATCTAAGCTTTGGGAAAGCTTTCAATAGGAACACATCTGACAATGTCTGTGACTCAGTATTTCCTATCTTACCCATTGTCTTGCATGCAACATTTAGGAATCAGGACATTTACAGAGATGAGTTTCACGAAACTTAATAAAACCTAATAATCACTGGGAATTATAGACATCATTCACACTTTACCTGGAGAAATAACGTATTGAAGGAAGACAGCAAAACAAGATAGTGTGCAGCGCTTATTATTTTATTGCACTCATTTTTGTACACGCTATCAGTTATTTCCACGCTACTTTATTTACACAGAATCCAGATTCTGCTACTTTAATCATTCACTACTACTTAAATAATATTATCAGTGAATTGGCTGCTTTATCAGTTAAACTGGTAACCAGGATATCAGAGAACTCAAGCTTTTATCAATATTAACTTTGAGATCAAAGGCAGCTGCAATCAGATCGCACTACAGGTTAACCATCATTACCCGTTCTCTTGTCTACATCTGTCCTCATCCTTATGGAGCATTTCTCATGCCATGTTCTTCTCCGTTCCTCCCAACACCGCGGCCTTACCAGCTGAGAGCAGGCAAGACTAAATCAGGCCAAGTGAGCTGGTATGATTCACAGTGGGAGGACACTGCTCCACCTCAGCCCCAGCACAAAGGTTATTACCTTTAAACAGATATCAGGAATTACCACTTCTCAGCTTCGGCAAAAATGCATAGCATCTATCATGTATCGCTGTTTGAATCTGCTGGGTTTTGGTTTGTTTTTTTAATCATTAGCAATATGCAACAGTGATTACGAACAAGGGCCATTCTCTTCTAAAACATACATCACCTCACACAGTTTACAGAAAAGTTACTTTTATAATAAAGCACAGAAGCTAAATGCCTGTAGCTAGCTTATACGGTGTCCCAATGAATGACACGGTATGTTCTTTCAGCTAACAAGGCAATTCATATGAAAATAGGTAAATATTTATATATGCCCAACACAAGAAGTTACTATTGCATTCAGTACACATCACAAATACAGTAGAAGACTAGTGAAACGCTTAGTTACTATTCTCTTCCCTCCCTCATCCCACATTAGAAGTTTACCAGATTTCTAAATTTAATCCTCTTTCCTTTTCCCATGTCCCCTCCCATACATACACGGCCACGCAGCTACCAGTAATGTTTGCTGCCCAGATAATGGCAACAGACTGAGTCAGCCACGGATGACCACCTGCGTCAGCTCAGCCCGCTCCACCGCCCTCTCTTCTGCCTGTTCTCAAGAACGTTTCTGTGCAACAGCATTTCAATACTGCACTAATAACACAAAGCTCATGTGAGCACCGATACTTTTTGTCCTGAGTGTTAAGCAACGTTCAAACTGTGCACAGGTTTAGGCTTTGAATGATGTAATGAATGTTGTGGAGTCCCTTTTCACACCCAGCCTATTCCGAGACAAGTTTTTCCTTCAGCTAATTCCATGCGATTCTCAAGTCTATCAGTAAAGCTGTACAGCATCAAACTAGAATCCTTTACTAGTTCTTCCTCTCCTCCACTGAAAAGGTGAAATCACCAACTCACACTGCATCTAGACCAGCTAGCTCTGTACTGCCAAAATCCAGCCAGTTTAAATATCTCCACACATCCAAGGTGGAGATAGAAGACTGAGCTTGCTTGCTTAGGCTTCCAACCAAACGAAGTAATAAGAGACCAAGAGTCACATTTATTACCACAAGAAAGCTGCAACTTTTCTTATATTGCTGGAAAAGAGTCATCACTCAGGATAAAGGCCAAACTTCACATCCTGACATGACAGCATAATACTCCAAAATACTCAGTTTTAGTTATCAGTCCCCAGAAATCAAGCCAGTTTGATGCCTGAAACACCTTTTATAAGATTTCTCTTCGGCTTTTGCTTTCTGAAGAGCTCTTGCAAATGTTTTTGTCAATCAATGAATTTTGTTTCCAACTCTGACAGTCTGGACAGCTATTTTCCCTCTCAATAGCCCTCCCACTTGCAATGACTACATAAGAACACCAAACTTAAATAGCTACATTAAAAACATCACCTTTGAGATACTGAGACGCCACTGAAATGAAAGACAGAAAGCAGTAACAATTTTTGCAGATGGTCTCAGTTTCAGAGGCCCTACAATTGCACACGCAAACATCCTTCTCCCTTTCCAACAGTAAGTCAAGCCTAAAAGATCACACATTTGTTTCCAGCATTACAACAGACAGTCTCGCCTTGTTCACGGCAGCGAACAGTTCCTACTTACATATCCCAACAATAACAGAGGGCGTGTGTTCCAGTCGCAAGTAGAAGAGAAGATTGTAAAAATTGAAACAGATCAGAGAGAAGCATAAGATGACAGAGATCCATTCTTGTAGTCTCTTTCCTGTTGGAAAAAAAAGGAAAAAAGCGTGTTTTACTTCTATCTGAGATGACATTTTGAAGTCTGAAACAATACAGACAGACTATTCTACTGCCTGGATGACTCCATTTGTCTGACAGGGAATGAAACAAACTCATTTATCCATGGGAGGTGTGCATATTTTGTTAAATGACATTCCTCTTCCCCGAGCCAATGCTAACCCCTTCCCTCTGCCCCTGCCCAAACAACAGGGACAAATCAGGCATCATCTCACATTGTCCTAGTTTCCTTTTCCCTGCGGTTGCTGGCATAACGTTCCTTCACATCACATATTTTTTCAAATTTGCATTTCATTCAATATTCAGTGTTGCTGGTATGGCTGAATCTGGGAACAAATTTCTGGCCTCAGATGCCCTGTAGTTACATCACCTTATGATTTGTAATATTCAAAATCTCAGGGCTTGTAAATAAAGCTGTTGTATTAACAGGAAAAAGCATCATCCTGTACTTCGGTGGCCCTAGGACTGCTTTCCTGACATTGCAAGTATACTTCTTTGGCTTGCTTACTGAACTCCTGCAGTCTTGTCTTTGCCTTCCTGCTCCCAGGCAGAAGGCTACGACCTCTCAGCCATTCTGAGATGACAAGAGACATAACAAGCAAAGAGAAAGAACTGGCACAAATTCTCTCTTGTATGTACTACTTCGTACCTCTACAAAAACCTCATTTATTTCCTGTAAAAAGAGAACAGACGCATCAGAGTAACACTTTCAATATTCAGATTAGCAGCAGAAAGTTTCTGCCTGTCAGCCACTGCTAGATCCTCACAAGGCGCCGATGCTGAGAGCAAGGGAACGCTCAATGCAAGACACGCATGGATTAAGGCATCAGAAACAGACCTTTAATGCCTAAATCCAAGGAGATCTGAGCTGCCACCTTGGCCCAGAAGGGCCCTGGCTGTAGTTAGCTCTTAACAAGCTCAGGAGCAGACAGATCAGTCTTCACCTATTTTAGGCGGCCAGTCAGCACAGCTGCCTCTCGCCCAGGGCAGTTAACCCCACAGCCCATTCCCACTCCCTCCTATGGCGTTGTACACTTCGCACCACTCGAGTCTGAGGCAAAGCAACGTGCAGGGGAACAATCGGTAAGGACGACCTGCCAGGGGCACGTCCTCTCGCAGGAGCAGAGGCACGCTCACGGCTGCCACGTGTTCAGGACAGGAGGTCCTTTCCTACTACTCCTCTACGCTGACCTACTGTCTGGTCAAATTTCTCCTCCTAAATGCTGAATCCTTCTTCTCAACTATACCATGCAATGAAAAGGAAACTAGGAACATCGAAAGAGGATCAGTATCATCTCCAATGTGCTTACAACGCAGTACGTTGAACAAGTGTGAACAAAGACTTTTACAGTTCAGAGTTCTGTCCTAGAAAGGCCATAAGTATATAAATTAACATCCTCTGCAGCAGGAGAGGAGAAAATCATAAAATTAAATTAAGACACAAGAACAAGTATATTTCAAGACAGCATCAGGTCACAATGTGGGAGATTCTATAAAAAGATCCCTGGAGTAATAAAAGTAAGAGTTAATTAACGCTCACTTCCTTCATAGGGAAACCACACCCTGATTAGAGGAGCTAAGTGGGTAGATCCTCACGGGACAATTAGCCGACTGCGGGGAAACACCAGGCTCCTTACTAGGGAGTCCCCCGAGTTCAGTCTGTGCAAACGCCACTGTCCTCTGAACGCAGAGATCCCAAGACGACTGCCTGGAGATATCCGAGTCCAGAAACGCAGCCCCAACTCTGGACAGACTGGGAAGGCGAATCAGTCGAAGCAGCGGAGTCAGCAACAACACTTGTGCTTAAAGAACACTCACATTTGAAAGTATGTCCCACATGAAGGAATAAAGTCCAACGCCACAAAGTATATGCATAAAGGAAATCGTGGAAATACTCCAGAGTCATATTCACTCTGCACAATTATATGTAATCTCCGTTCTTAACAATTCAGTACTTCAACATCACGTGCTCCCACTGTAACATGTATTCTGACGTTGTTTATGTAAGTTATTTATGTAATGCCAGAAAAAAATCGCACATCTAATATATTATCACAGCTCACAGCTGATAGATATCACTATACATATACTACTTTACAGACTTCCAGGAACTTCAGTCAACAGCTAAAGATAAGGGTAGCAAGTTGTTTGGGGAGGAAAATATTTTTGTTATGAGCAAGAGCACAGCGCAATAGTAAAGTTAGTGATTGCTTTTCTGTAAAGCACAAGAACCAGTCGCTACTGCCTGGATCAGAACTGTGTTTCTAGACCAGCTGAAAGATGTCACACACCGCCTTCTCTCAAGGCAAGGAAGAGGTGACCAACGCGAGCTGAAATGGGCAGACTTGCCCTGAATAGTCTAGAAAACTGACAAACTAATGAACGCCTTTTGTTTTCTTGTCATTACTTGGCTCTGTACAAGTATGAACAACTGCTTTTTCAATTCTATTGCCTTGAATGTGCAAGCTAAGCTGTTCAGCTGACCTGCTGGAAACTGCAAGATGCTGAAACCGTGTCTTCCCTTTCCTAATCCTTCACCTGCAAATGAGTTCACTAGGAATGGCAAAAATACCTAGCATCGCTCACACTGTGAGCTAAAAACAAATTACTTATTTTATTACACGGAGTTTGCAGTTATTCCCATAGCATAATCAAACAGCTGCTGTCACTTTATTGAGCTCTGAGAAACAGCAAGCTTCAGGAAGACAGGACCAAAACAAAAATTCAAAGATCCCTCCGGCCCTTTCTGAGGCACCAGGACTGGGTATCTCACAGTAGGTCACTGAACAAATATTCTGAAGCGAAAGCTGCTGTTCTGACCTTACTTAGCAACCAAATTTGTACCTCTGCTTTCAGACGGAAAGGTTAACTGTTTGTTTGTTTGTTTTTAAAGGGATGAGCAGGTTCTAGTTTGAAGATGTCCCCCCCCAGCAGCTGGACCACGGGTCTGCAGTTGAGACACCGACTCCAGTCCCATACTGGCACCTTTTCGTAACCTCTCCACAATAGCGCTTTCTTAACCTCTCAGAAGTTTGCTTTAAAAGTGGCATGCTAAGCATGCCCATCAAGGCTCAGTTTGTAAGTAAGCGGTGTCAGACGCAAAGGACGGGGACCCAGCGTTGCCTGAAGGCCGCCCAACCAAGCGTCCCCCCGCCGCACAGCCAGGGGAAGCCAGGGGCTTGACAAAACACCTCCAGGACGCCGGGAGCCGACGAAAGGGCCCTCGAAGGCACCAGAAAGGCAGCGAGTCGCCCAATCCACGGCCCGTTTCTCAGACCTGCTTTAAGCCGCCACGCTCGCCGGCTCTGCCCAGGCCGAGGAGGGCGGGCAGCGGGCGGACGCG